GATATTATGTTCGGTCATACGACACTCTCTCTCTAGTAGACTGGCTGACATTTAAAAATCGCAATATCATAAAGTTAAAGAGATGCTTGATGAGCGTAAAGGTGTAGTAATTTGATAGGCTCTTTTTTCCAATGATACGAGTATTTCAGTACGGGTTTTGAATTGATTTACAAAGGGAATGGGTAACACAGTAAGTGTTTGGAACGCTATAAGGTGTTGGAATTGATTTTTGACTTCTAAGGAAATGGGTAACCCAGTAAGTGTTTTGAACATTGTAAGGTGTTGGAATTGATTTTAAGAAAATTGGTAACACAGTCGGGGTTTGTGATAAATATATACATTCTTCAGAAAGTGATTAAACCCACAAAATTAGATCCACTAGTTATTACAATGGATACAGAAACAAAATTTAATTCAGCTGTATGTAGCTGAACAAATTTAGGGGTTGGAATTTATTTCCAAGGGTTTGGAGCTTTGTAAAGCAAGGATATGGATTTCCCTGAACATGGGTATAACATCCTTTTAAGGTACACAATGATCTAAACGGTCTGGCTTGCTTTTCTAGTTTTGACTAACCAGGGTTCCTTAGTCTGTAGCACAAGGATCCGGATCTTTTGTGTAGTGGGCAATAGTTCGTCACTATTCAATTGACCACTTGCGAACAAATATTGACAATTTGTAGCGAATTAACAAATGCTCGTGAGTGTTAGTCTTTGATTTTCAACTTTTCCCATCTTGAAACATGTCGGCCAAATATTTATATTATTCATAAATTAATCTGCATATTATGGAAGTCGTCGTCTTTGGAGATTTCTCAAGGAGTGGATATTGTCTGCGGCGATTCCCCGTGAGATCTTTAGTGTGCACCATATTTTTAATGTAATAGAGCCTTTCATAAGCACTAAAATTCATGTGGAGAGAATGTCACGGCTTTCGATATTCTCTCCGGACGTTTACACCATTAAATATCTGCAAATGAGTTCTGATAGATGGCAATTCGTCGCCTGCTGCGGTGACATTAAAATTTCAATTTTTTAGCAATAACGATGTGCCATTTTCAGCACAAATCAATACAACATATCTATTAAAGGTAGTCATAATTTCCTAATCGATAGCTGTAAAAGGCACGAGTGTTTCAAAGACTCAGTGGGAGTGCTTGTCCTAATTGCATATTTATTTACATTTATGTGAACATTTTAGAAAATGCATTTGAATTTATTGAAGTTATTGCTTTTATATCTTGCCATCTTGTGTTTTATTTCCAACTGTCAGGAGATTATTTCCGTACCCCGAGGGTCTTGGTGTGATGCTGTATTCAATCTAATACGACCAGTTGTTTTCTCCACACAAGGCTGTTCGACCTACAACTTCTGACAGGGGGAAACAGGTTAACAAAATCGAAGACATCTCTTTATGATGTTGATGTATGCGAGATCTGGCAAACACTTTCCGGAACACCCGCAACCACTCTTTCTGTTTCTTTACATGTGGTTGTCACCATCTAGTTGCCTTGAATCGCTAGTCGACCTAAGCGAACTAGCAACTCGAAGTAAACAACATCTTTCCGTTCATCTTTCAGTATAATTATTGAACTAAATCTTCAACTATTAACTAGAACATTGAATTACATGTTATTGCAAATTTTGTTCAAATCGTGTATAATCTCTATAATTACCCATTCGACCTCTAGACAGTATGTTTACGTTGGTGGAAAGGTTTTGCTTTAAAAAGTTAAATTGAAACAAATGATGCGCCTACACAAACATCATAGAGCTTAGTCGAAAAGGTCAACCACAAACGCGAAAAAAATCTATGGTTTGGCATTTTTAAGTATTTGTCCTTACTCTACGTTAAAGAGAAAATAACAATTTTGTCTTTTCCTGTTGATTAAGATGAATTGTTATTTAATTTCAAATGCCATGGAATGCCGAATGCCAACGCCTACTTCAATCGAAGCACAAAGGCACACATTAAACCAATAAAATGACGGATTACGCGTGAGAAAAATACCATCTCTTTTCCTGAAGCCTCTTAAAATCTTTCAATTAACTGGCAAAATACAATTGCGGTTTTAAATGTTTTTAAAGTGAAACCATTTATCAAGAGTACAATTTGTGGATTCAATCGAGGGCGGAGATGTAAAATCGTTTGAATAATCCTTTTCCTATCTTAACAATGTCAAGCTTTTACGCCTTAGTATTATACCTTGACTGCAATAGCCAACTTTCTTGTATTAAAATGCAGTTATTGGACTGGATTATACGCAAGCAAATACAGCCTATCATAGCTATTTTTGTTTAAAGACTGTTGAGGACTCTGATTGGTTTTACTTAATTGAATACTGCCAAACAAAATCGCTGGATTTATTAACATAATTATGTAATACAAAAAAAGTTGGCTTTTGCAGACAAGGTATAAGACACAGTTCGTAATAGCTTGATATCGTGACGACGTTTTTTACCATACAATGAATGCGTCTTATCTCGAAGCAGATTTTTTTAATGTTCGCAGTTGTTGGACTGTTGATATACATGGCTTTGTCATCCCAGTCGCTCATGAATGAACCACGTTAAAGATCCCTCGACAGTTGGAAATCGAAAAAGAGCAGGCTAATGCCGTTGTCCTGGCAAAATTTTCCTCATTGCACCCTGCCTGGCGTTGCCCGTCTTCATTAGCCCACATGGTGCAGAAAAGTACGACGTAAAACTCCATTTCAATTCATTTCCTCATGAATGATCCAGGATAATCATTGTTGATTTTGTCGTCTTTTTGACTGCGATTAGGATATATATTATTTGCAGCTTCCTTTCCATATTTAAGATTTTTGCTTTGGGCGTTAGGTTATTAATGTAATCAGGGGAAAACTGATACAACTTAGGTCCGGCTATGTTCCAAAGTATAATCACGATTTCCGTTCGGAAAGTCAAAGTCCTCCTCCAGTAAACACATATCGCCGACAAGGTGGCTGCTAGTAGATGACAAGTTAGTCAACTTCCAATAAACTGATATCGCAGACGGACAAGGTAGTTATTGGTGGATGGCAAGTCAACGTCCTTTTCCAGTAAACTGATATTGCAGACAATTTGGTTGTTGGTAGATGACAAGTTAACGTCCACTTACAGTAAACTGATTCGCAGAGAAGGTAGTTGTTATTGGATGACAAGTTAAAGCCCTCTTCCAACTTAATAATATCGTAGACAGGGTAGTTGTTGGTAGATGACAAGTTTAAATCCGCTGCCAGTAAACTGATTTCGTAGACAAGGTAGTTGTTGGTAGATGACAAGTCAACGACCCCTTCCAGTAAACTGATATCGGAACAAGGTAGTTGTTGGTAGATGACAAGTAAACGTCCTCTACCAGTAAACTGATATGGCAGAGAAGGTAGTTATTATTGGATGACAAGTAAACGACCTCGTCCAGTAAACTGATATCGCAGACAGAGTAGTTGTTGGTAGATGACAAGTTTAAATCCGCTGCCAGTAAACTGATTTCGTAGACAAGGTAGTTGTTGGTAGATGACAAGTCAACGACCCCTTCCAGTAAACCGATATCGGAACAAGGTAGTTGTTGGTAGATGACAAGTCAACGACCTCTTCCAGTAAACTGATATCGGAAACAAGATAGCTGTTGCTAGTCTTAGAAGTTGGTGGTAGTAACCGTAACCTCTTACACAGCACCAGATGCATCAAATTTGCATGAGGTAATTCCAAGTGATCAGACAAATTGAGAATAATCTGTCGTAAATGGAAATATACGAGGCACGGTGATCGGTACGAGATTATCGATACGGTAAGAAAAAGCTAGAAGAAGCGAATACATCCTTAATCTTGATGCAGCATGGGGGTTCGGCCCTATCCATCCACTCACAGAATTAATTGGGCAATTACTACGTATTTTCCTTGTTACTGATCAATTTCTAAAAAGACATGTACCAAGAATATTAAGAAGCACGTTACTCAAATTATCCACTTTCTCAAACACTGTAAGGTCATGTCTCCTCTCTGGACGGTATAATTGCATGAAAAACACCACCTTTATTTCCAATATCAGCAAGATGTTTTTCATGTAATGCCACTATCTCATCTATTTCTGGCCCGTAGATTGTGTTTACTCTACATGATAAGCGGCATGTTTTCTTCAGATTCATTATCATCAAGGAATTGACAATATTTTTCTTCTATTTTGCTCCATGCTTGTAGTGTTTTCTTTGCCGAGGCAGTGACATGGTTTAAAGGAACTTTCAGTTTCAATCCAAATATTGCCAGTAATGGTTTTGTACACTCCAAATTAGTCTATTATCCCATTATTCGAATAAAAGCATTATCCCTTATTTTCGGTGCATTCCAAATACCTTACTATATAACTTTTACTCTCGATACTTTGGACGAGATTTTGATTAACGAATCGTTTTATTTGTACGGATTTTTATTAAGGTTAAGTACCAATTTGAAGTGGTAGAGGAATTTATGAAGCACTTTCTAGCTTCAAGATGGCAATTGCCAACCCATGAAATACAGGCTACTATAAAAGTATCGATAATAGTTCGCGAAAATATTACGTACCTTCTTAGACGTATATAGTAAAATTGAAAACATTCGAGAAGTACACTATAAAATGTCAACCTTCGAGAACTAACATACAATCATAAACCGAGTAATTATGAGGTCGTGAATAGTCTGCCATAAAATTGTTTACTAAGGAGTACTATGAAATAAAATGGTAAACTTATAAGTAGAATACCATTCCATTATTTATTAGTACTTAGATGGCTATAAGCTAAAGAGAGTTAACAATCGTATGGTTATCCAACGCACGCTTGCTGAACACGATGCAATCGACACCCTTTTGAATTTGTTTCAGAAGGCATGAACAAATACAAAATATTTTCTCGTGATCGAATTGGTATCTTTAAGCTAGCTAATTCGCTGTTCATGAGTTTGTTATCCTTGTCAATCACATGACGACGATTGATGTTATTTTTATATTATTTTCTTTTTCAGATCCATACACGAAGGTCACGTTAATTCTGTCGAACCGGAAAACCAAGAAGAGGAAGACCAGCACGTCTCGTGGAGATTGCAATCCGGAATGGAACGAAGCTTTAGTATTCAATTTACCTAACGAATATTTGGACACAATATGCATTGATGTTAGTGTTTTCCATGAAAATAAGATCGGAAACGACGAGTTATTAGGTCGCGTTCGATTATCGGGCGACTCGGATGGCGATGAAAATATCCATTGGCAAGATTTAGTCAGTTCTAAGTGTGCTCGAGCTCGGTGGCATCATCTGTCCTGACATACAGCTAGTGATCTTGATGACAAACTTGAAACGGCTACTTGTTGGTAAAGATTGGTTAGATGTTATTATGCATTGTCATAGAATAAGAGGTAAAGGTACGAAAGCTAGGGAAGAGTACAGGGCGAAACCTGAAATCACATATCTAAACTAATAAAAATATAATGTCCCATCAAAGTATCATCAAATCTGGCAAAGTACGATTATTTAATCAGATATAGGGACAGCAACCGCGTATATCTAAGACAAAACAAGAGCATGTCATTTCGATTTAAGGTAAAATGAATAATAATTGAAATTACATTCTTACTAGACTTCTCCAGAATGTTTTAGATGTTCAAAAATTTCTTTGCATTTAAGTGAGAACTAGTAAACTGCATTTGGTGAGGACTAGTAAACTTCATTCTGGTGAGGACTAGTAAACTTCATTATAGTGAGGACTAGTAAACTTCATTATAGTGAGGACTAGTAAACTTCATTATAGTGAGGACTAGTAAACTTCATTATAGTGACAACTAGTTAACTTCATTATATGCATTATAGTTAGTACTAGTTAACTAAGTCACAATTTGAGGTTTTACAAATGGGTATGCAAACCCAGCTTAGCTTAGCAACTTACTCGTGTCACAAAATCGGTGCACTCTTCCACTCTTAATAACATCGCTAACCCCACAGTTCCTTAAAGCAGTATAGACGTTTTGATGCAGACTCAAACCTTAATTTATTTGAAAACTATTTTCAGTCAGATTGACTAGTTTTACAAATATAAAAATAAGCTTGACATTTCCAGTATTATAACTCTCTCAACAATTCCTGATCAAATTACAAACGGAAAACTTCAAACCTTTTTACAAAAAAATGCTATGGATTTATTGGCAAGATGAAATAAAATGACAAAAACCGCAAAGGAACGTTAAGTGTTGATAAAAAGGCAATCTTCACTTTCATACATAACCTTATTTGCTTGTAGTGTTAGGTTATTGGCTGAAATTGCGGAATTTCCAGTTAATTACGATACATTGGGGTATTTAGACACACAAAGAGGCTATTGACATTTAAAAAGACAAATATTGGATAAACGTCAATCTATATCGGCAATAATGGGATTAATGAAATACTTCAGTTCTAGCTCTGTCCGACCTTTCTCAATGATTTCTTGAGAGCAGGCAACGTGTCTCGATGATTGCAAATCAATTTGGTCTTAAAATACAAAAAAAACATTGTAGATGATTATATGATAAAACTGCTTGGTCAGTTAAAATAGTATTTTCAATCTTGATGTTCGATTGTCAGTAATAAAGTATTGATAACAAAATACGTCAATATACATGTAAATAGGATTTTGAAAAATGTTTGAATAATAAAAGATAGTTATATAAAGTTATACATATACACCATAATGCAAGCATTTTCAATGAGTTTGGTAATCCAAAAATATCCAATTTAAAAACATATCAGGAATTTCGACTCGAAAGGAATACCATGTTGACAAACCAAGTTGGAGAGATGCATGAGATGCAGAATACAGAGTAAGCCAGCTCTTCAGATGTGGAGCTCGGATGCATATTTTCTTATGAGCTAAGTTAAATAGTATACTATACCACAATATTTCAGCATTAGTACATAATCCAAGTTAACAAAATAATTTTATTCGCCTTGAAATAAATAAACCAAGTACTAGCGATCCGAACCGCAAAACGAAATCCGAACAAGATATTGGCGAAACATTAATAGCAGCTAATAAACTTTTCACGCAAGGAAGTATATCTATAATAAGTGAGTAAGTATTTCATAATGAAAATTGATATCAGGTGTCTAGAATAACAAACGATATTAAAGTTCACCAAATGCAATCTCTCTTCATCTAGGACACATAATGCATCAAGTAATGCATTTATTTTGAAATAAGAAAAAAGAAGCCGTGATTTTATTTCAAGTTTGTCACTTGATCACTATGATGAAATTTACAACTTCTCTGTTTTTGGGAGGTTTATTTGACCAAATTTCGTAATGTGTCAAACCAAAAACGTGATCCATTGTGTTTTGTGCATTCCAAAAATGTCAGTGTTCCCATTTACCTCCGTACCCGTTTTGTTGTAAGGATTGTGAACTATGTTTACCACCCATTGAACTGTGTGATGTGTTTGGATTCCCAGCCTATGCAACCATGAAGATGCTGTGTAAAACACTTTACCTAAGGACGGATATATAGAAAATATCAAGAAAAAGCCAATAAGTTAATAATGCAAATTATATAAAAGAATTATTGCAGTTTTCTTTCATCATATTGAGACCAAAACTGACGCAAGTCGCCAAATATGGAATCTTAAACTTAAGTCGGCAAATGAAATTGCTATTTACGGATCCTTTTAGAAAAGGATTCCTTGTCCATTACAGATTATGTTTAATGTAGAGTATGGTTCAACGTTATGGAACAACATATGTTCTGTTATTGTATTAAGTTTCTTAAGATGATACAATTTTTACACATTGAAGTAACACATTAGTGGGCAGAAAGCTGATAACAGAATTGAATTATCTTTTGAAAGTTCAGCTGTGCGTAGGAAGGTACTTGGATGCAATTAGTTTGTCAATTGCAATAATGTCACTTTGATCATCGCAGATCCATCAATGGAAACATCAAGAAGTTGCGAAAATGTATGAGATTCCATTACACTGCATTTACACCACAGCACCCCAGAAGACTAAATAATAGGTTTCTTGGTCAGATTTGTCGTATTGCGTATGTGAACTAAAATGACTGACCAGTTTTCCCCCAGAGGTTCCGTTTACATAGAAATTCCTCAAGTCACATTCGATTCACGATCAAATTAAGGTTAATGGGATGTCAATTACAGATTTGCCATAAACTACATTTATTTTATATTCTTCGCCCTGGAGATTAGAAAATTTCTCCCAAACTATGTCTGTTTATTAATTTATAGCTTGAGAGATTTGGAAACAATCTTTAGTAAAGAGATTTGATATCCACTTAAATACATTTCTATATTTTCTTTCTATGATGTCTTGGATAAACAAATTATATAAAATCATAACGTTTCTTGCACTTAGTAACATATTGACATTAGGTGTGGTGGGAGGAATGTCAAACTGTCCTTGTCCAATTTGAACGTTTCTGTACCTGCAAAATTTTCATTATCTTAAATAGATTTTAAATTATAGCTGACAATATTTTTGAATATGTTATTCTATGTATCTATTTGAATTTTCAAAGGGTTGATTTAAAACGGGGTGTACTAATTATTAATTAAGCCGCGTGTTGGGCTTCATAAAGACTCAATATTTTTAGTTGAATGCAAAACAATTTTTCAACACGAAAAAAGATGCCCGTTTACCTAATGGAATTGACTGTCACACATTCAAAATGGTTCAAACACGATATACGAGTTCATACATAAATAGTCGAATTTTCCATAAGGGTTTACTATTGGGTTTGCCAATAAAAAATGACATTACTAATGTTTTGGTATGGATTATTAAGGCATTGAAAACGGTAGTTCGTTTCGCTTACATATCACATGACATTGTTTATTTGGGAATACATGTAATTTGTTTAAGAACTTTTGATATTTTTCCAGATTTGACTTAAACACGAGATACTGGCAATAAAAGTTTTTCAGGTACAAAGCAATACCCAATTGGTTTAAAATTTAAAAATGCCGGGCGGGGTTTGAAGGTTTGACATACAACTATAGCAATAGTGATTAATGTTTGTGCACTGTTGATAACGATATTGTATATGTTTGCATTTAATAATAATTTGAGATGGGGTTCAGCATAGTTATTTCTTGATTTGTATATAGCTATCTACAACATCCTCCACGCCGATTAGACAAAAGGATACCTGAAAAAAATAAACCACGTTAGGCCAGTTTTTTTGTGTGATTGATTCATCAAAACACGAATAGCAGCAAATTTCATTCGATTGAACTTTATTCCAATGCACAGTTATGTATTTTGTAACAAATTGTTTTGACCAGCAATTTATTGATCGGCAAGTGCAAGAGGTTCGTTGATGTTGAGTAAAACCGATATTCCTCTTAGATATCATGTATATAGTGAAAATGAAAAATATATTTTGTATATGTATTATTTCTAGTGATGTACATAGATCCTTTCATATTTTATCTATTGTATTTTTAGTACCAAAAATTTCCTTGTTATATTTTAGTACCAAAATGATTGTTTTTCGATACTAGAACCATTTTACTGTTGTGTTAGATCTGTTGTTTTTGAACGATAGATAGATACGTTTTCTACTTTTAATTGTAATTCGGTGCTCTAGTGCTGTTTGAAGTACGCTCTTTGACTTCGAGATGCTCCTTCAGTGGTAGATTGATAAGAAAAATACACCAAATCACATCAAATCCGCCGCAAAATAAAACTATTCGAAAAAGGACAAAATTTTGCAACTATACCACATCGTAGACCACCATCTGACCTAATGTCAAAGCAGAGATTTGCTCTCACTTATACTTTGTTCCCGCTGCCAATTAGACATTGTATGGTATGCAACTACCTTTTACAATGAGAAAAGGTTTATTTGAGACATATAGCGTACTTCAAATATATATATTTAGTAGTGGTGCAATTACGTTACTTTACTGTATAAGATTGCGCAGTTATGTTGTAAGTTTTGTTAACATATACTATATGATTGATTTTTGTTATCAATTTGTTATTAATAGGATATTTTCCTGTGTATTTATGTTCTGTTGGGTTTTTGTAATTATGACAATAAAGTTGTTATGATAATTTGATTTCTGCATAATGAGTTTTGTATTTATGGTGCTATTGCGTTGACAAGAAGTTTCTCATCCCGAACAAACCTATTACTCAAGGCCCTTCTGCACTATGAAAACGCAGCATGGATAGAAGGTGTTCAATTATAGTATTCTTGAGTAGGATTTGTTTGTATGCCAAGAAGGCCTCGCCCGAACTTATCTAATACTCAACGCCGTTCTGCATTATGAACACGC